GGGTGTTGGGGTAGGAGCCTGCTCCGGCTCCCCCAAAACCCAACAGCTGTCGAAGGTTAAACTTCAGAACGAGGAAGCAACATTATGCTTCGGTGAAGAAAGATGTTCACTGTCTCTGTTAAAGCCAAAGGCATCCCTCCTCAGAACCGGGCGATAGCGAGGACATCCCTGAGCCCTTCGACCTGGAAGGGGATACCAAAAATAACACCTTCAGGTCACAAAGATCCTCACCGAGGTGAAGACCCTTCCCCCTAAGCACGTGTAGAAGTAGTGTGTCAGCGGTATTATAATTGTATTTAATTACTAACCAATCATTCTGGAGAGTATGGGCTTAGAAAATAACCAACTCTGCCAGTTTTGTGCACAAATCTGGCACGGACAGTCCTGTTGGTGTGCTGTCAGGAGGAATCCCACACGCACCCAGCGCTGCAATAAACCAACGCCAGCTTTGTCATCTGGCTTGGAGAGTTTTCTTGGTTATGATTTTCAGCAACTCAGCCACCTTTGTGTGAGATGAAAAGTGCCCTTTCCATAGCCATCTTGGCTCACAGCATTGGTTTTCATCACCCAGATCAGGTTGTGGTTTGGGCCGTAACGCCCTCCAAGAAATGGGAGGACAAAGGTGAAGTCCCGTCCCCTCCACAGCAGTGCTTCCCTGAAGAGCAGTCTGAGCATTTGGTACAAATCCACACAGCCTGTGAACAAAACAAGAACAGAAACTGTAGCTGAGGACACAATGGAGGACAACAAATTCTCACTAATTATTGGGAGACTCAGTCACAAATCAGAAGCAGCTGTGCACACTGTGTTACTCAGATCCTGCCTCCTGCCCTTCCTCTCCCCAATTTCTTCCCGCTAAAGTCTTCACTTTTCTCACAAGGGAAAATCCAGACCAAATAATATTTGGGTTTATTTGGGATATCTGGGAATATTTGATACATACACACAAAGTATACCAAATAAAAAGGCATTTTAACATCTACATACTGTTTTTCCTTTTCCCTTCAGTCCAGAGTTTGCAAACTAAATAAAAAAATATTAGACTGAAAAATCCTAGCTGCCTGCCAATACTTGAGATTAACAGAGACCGGTCACCACTTCCACCGTTTAAATTGTGAATCAGATCGATGTCTGCCTGACCCTACCAGCAGATCCTGGTGAGAGGTAAATTAGGAAAAAGGACCATTTTCCCCCTTAGTCACTGAACTTCTGAGCTGTAGCTCTTTTCACTTTAAACAATACCCTTTTCAAAAACACTTCTAGTAGTTCCACTGACCTTAAAAGTAATTAGTTAATAATACCATATTAATACCAAATGCCACATTAGATAAGTAAACATGTGGTTCAAGAAACTGTCATACTTCAGGCACAAGCTCTTGACTAAGGATTTTGGCTTTGTTAAGTTTTTTACCAATGTTCTAATTCTCTTTTTTCCTGTCTCCTCTCACTTTGGGAGTCACCAGACAGCACTCCATAATAAAGTGCTGGGTATTTCAACTGACTATTAAAAAAAAAATCTGGAAATCCCAGAGTTTTGTGTGAAGTCTTCAAGTCAAGTTTGTGTTTGTTGCTGTAAGAGGAAGACGTATTTCAAAGGACAGAAAGTTAAGCAAGCTGAAGCTGATTTGTAACAGGCAGAAATCATGACAATGATGGGAAGGGCTGAACTTCCTGGCGTGATTAATGTTCATTACTTCAAAAGCCCTTTTACAGACTTTGGAAATAGCGATTGCTTTACTTACAATTTGAAACCAGGAGCACTAGAGCAGAAAACATAGAGAACTCAAAGCAGATTCACCTCAGTGAACCCAGGCAACAAGTTACCTGTTCAACTCATCTCTACATGCATACAATCCATTCACACATCAATTGACCACGGACCACTGAGCATGCCTAACATGCAGCAGGTTTAAGCTTACAGCTCTGAGGGGGCTGGCAGCATTACCTAGGCCACCTGGGCACCTCGGGCCGGACGCTGGTAGCCCTGTGCCGGCCGGGTTTGGGTTGAGGCCCCTCAGGAGCCCTCCGCCCGGCGGCCGCGGGGCCAGCCCCGGGCCCAGCGCTGCCCGCCGCCCTTCGGCCCCTGAGGAAGAGGCGGGAAGCGCCCGCGGCCGCCTCGCGCCTTTCCCGCCCTCAGCCCGCCCCCGCTCTGCGCCTGCTGGGC